TTTGGAAATGTATTTGTCATAATATAATATGTAGTTACATAGTATAACATTTTTTATTTTTTTAGTATATAATAAAGTATTCCAAAGCTATCTTAAACAATCTTCAAAATTCCACAGAAAACTGGAGTATTTGGACCTTTCCCACAATAAGCTGGTTCACGTTCCCTCTTTCCTGCCGGTTGGTCTGCGGCAGCTCATCTTGCATCACAACCAAATTGAGCGCATCCCTGGCTATGTGTTCGGCCACCTGCGACCTGGTCTGGACTCCCTGCAGCTGTCGTACAACCGTCTGCGTGAAGATGGGATAAATGAAGTGTCCTTCCTGGGCCTGTACAACTCACTGACTGAACTTCTGTTGGACCATAACCAGATCAGATCAATCCCACGAGGCATTCTACAGTTAAAGAACCTGCAGCACCTAAGACTGAACCACAACTACATTAGGTTAGTGAGTTTGTCTGTCTGTCTGTCTGTCTGTCGCTTTGTCTGTTTTAACCTGATCTTCTCCTTGTAGCTACATCACTATGAACTCATTGTGTGACACTACGGCCCGTGAGGACTCCCTGCTGGTGTCTGTTCACCTGGAGTACAACCTGATCGACCGCCGCCTCATTCCACCAACAGCCTTCTCCTGCATCAAAACCTACCAGAGCGTCCTTCTGCGGCCCCAGAGATACGAAGAGCAACATGAATGAATGCAGTTTTTGGGGCTGTCGTTTACAGTGCATCTCAATTCAATTCTTAATTCAGAGTTTTAAGTGAAATGAAGATAAAGATGCAGCTCCCTTTTCACACCAGAGGCCTTTTATTTTGTGTTAGTTGTGTTTTAGTTGTGTTCTGACTGTCTCATTGGGGTCACACATGCACATGCATTTTTCTGCTTTACTGCAACTAAAAACTACTGCAGACATCTGCTGTTTGACATTAGCATTGGCTGTGTTTATGCTTTAACAGATTTGTAGGGGGTTTTGCACAGATTAACGGTGCTAAATGTACATCTTTCTTGTTGCAGTTGGCATTATATTTTGTGTATGTCTGTTGTTGTTGTTACCATATCTAATGTCTGTCTTGGTTTGTTTTATACCTGTATGTCTGCAATTTACAATCTCTTATAAAGCAGACTTGTATGTGCAAGGATTTCTTTCTTTTTATATGTAAAAGGTTTTTAATAGATCAGCTTTATACATTATTTATTTTTTTATTAAACTGCAATGCATCACATTTGTTTTTTTAAATTTTAATACCGTTTTAACAATTTTCAGTAGCAAAGGCTTTGACTTTTATATTCAGTTTTGTGATACTGTGTGTTGTCTGTGCTTTTGTATTCTCTGTCACAAACTACAATAAAGTTGAGAGGTGACAAATAATCTGGTGTCAATTTTTCAGCATTTCTATCATTAATATTATAAGTGCATGTCTGATGGAAACGATGCACTGGTGTCCTGATGTATTTGTTCAAGGAGTTGGTTATTCAGCGTATGTTCTGTGCTCGATGCGTCTGATTCTCTCATTGGTCCACTAGGGGGCGTCAATAAACGTAAATCCAAAAACAATTTAAAAAGGAATGATATAAAATAATTGTTACACATTTTATTTAATAAAATATATATTTTTATCAAAAGTTACATTTACATTCAATGCTGAGCTCTCACTTTTGACAAATGTGATTGACAAATGTTTGCTTTGTCCCTTCAACAATTTTCAATTTCTTTTAATGCAGGCCTATTGACAGCCCTACTTTCTTTGGCTTCTTTACACTGGTGGAGGAAAAAAATATGAACAGGTCATTTTCTGACTGGAAGTTTTTTGTCTTGCTAGTTTGATATTGCTTTGTTCTAGCAAATGCAGACAGCAGCCAGTGCTGAGTTGCACGTTCATCATTCTGTATTATGACACTGTAGACTAGCACACTGGGCAGTGGCACTCTCTGCTTGCTCTATTTCTGTCCGGAGAAACTCTCTTAAAGTGGTAACTCACTGCCACAAGTGCTTCTTTTTCTACTTCACAGCAGGCCTCTGTCCCAGATTTATTTTCTTTGGGCCATCCCTAGATTGATTCTCTGTTGATGTATATATTTCTGTGACTGCTCTTCATTTCCAGGGTGTGGGCCATGTCCTAAACCATGAAGAAAAACGTCCTTATATTAAAAGAGCATATCCCAGAGTAACATCAGTCTTAGTGGGAAAACCTGGAAGTCTGTGGTAACGTATTCATTGAGGCTCTTAGCATGTCATACAGACACTTCTGTGTAAATATATTGTACGTCTCTCTCTCTCTCTCTCTGTCTGAGAGATATGTCTGTCTCTCTGTCTATCGCTTTGTCTTTCTGTCTGTGCCATTCCACAAAAAAACATGCAAATACATAAAAGTGTGGATATGGATGGATACTTTGTTCCATTAATAATATGTATCCTGGATGTTCAATAAAGGGAGATTTTAAACTTAATTGTCTTAAAAAGTATAACTGTGGTATTTTGGTGGAATTATCTGTCTGTCTGGCTACTTTATCTATATGTCTATCAGTCTGTCTGTCTCTAAACCCGATTCCAAAAAAGTTGGGACACTGTACAAATTGTGAATAAAAACAGAAAGCAATGATGTGGAAGTTCCGAATTTCAATATTTTATTCAGAATACAACAGATGACATATCAAATGTTTAAACTGAGAAAATGTATCATTTTAAGGGAAAGATAAGTTGATTTTAAATTTCATGGCATCAACACATCTTAAAGTTGGGACAAGGCCATGTTTACCTCTGTGTGGCATCCCCTCTTTTTATAACAGTCTGCAAACGTCTGGGGACTGAGGAGACAAGTTGCTCAAGTTTAGAAATAGGAATGTTGTCCCATTCTTGTCTAATACAGGCTTCTAGTTGCTCAACTGTCTTAGGTCTTTGTCGCATCTTCCTCTTTATGATGCGCCAAATGTTTTCTGTGGGTGAAAGATCTGGACTGCAGGCTGGCCATTTCAGTACCCGGATCCTTCTACGCAGCCATGATGTTGTAATTGATGCAGTATGTGGTCTGGCATTGTCATGTTGGAAAATGCAAGGTCTTCCCTGAAAGAGACGACGTCTGGATGGAAGCATATGTTGTTCTAGAACTTGGATATACCTTTCAGCATTGATGGTGCCTTTCCAGATGTGTAAGCTGCCCATGCCACACGCACTCATGCAACCCCATACCATCAGAGATGCAGGCTTCTGAACCGAGCGCTGATAACAACTTG